TATAAACACGATATTAATATTTCAAATTTCATTCAATTTGAACCAGTAGTTTAAGAATTATAACTAGTCAAATTTTCTTAATTTTGTCACTCACTGACTGACCGATCATCAAAACTCTAAGGTACTTCTTGAAGCTTCAAATTTAGAATACAATTAGTGTTTAGTGTATAAATCAAGAAAAAAGTAAAATATTTTGTATTTTCGGTCCAGTGTTCTAGATACACCATCTGCATAAATAACTTTGTAAACCTTTATAAATATATAGGATTATAAAGTTACATTTGCAGTGAATGAATCAGTGTACCTGTGTATGTATAATATAATATAATAATACTTAGATGTAGAATAATAGATGGTCAATGGAATGAAAAAGCAAGAATGGGACATGTCTTATGAAGTTTTTTTTTATAGGATCGGGTGACAAACTAGCACACAGTCCACCTGATGGTAAGTGGTTACTGTGACCCATAGACATCTATATCTATCCTCAATAAAGACTCAAGATGCAGATGCGTTGTCACCCGTGAGGACGAAGATGGAACGCCTCTTTGCCAGTAAAAAGGGTCTCCGGTTCTCTACACTCACCATACGAAACACAGCAGCGTTAAGCTGCTATTTTACGATGGTTTTCTGTGAGAGCGTGGTCCTTCCCCGGTCGAGCCGACCCATTCGTGCCACAACCTTAATATAGCTACAGCATGGCTCTACCACGTAGAAAAATGATGATGTTGTACCAAAATCCCGCAAAGTATTAAGTAGATTAAATTGCCCGAAAATCCGTAGTTGGTATTCAAGAAGTAGATGGTACCGGAAAGGAAAAAAAAGAACTATCTACAAAAAGAAATAAGATGCCATCAAAAACATAACTTGTAAGAAAAACCAAGTCTCGCAACTCAGTTCTTCTACCGTAAAAAGTTGTGAGATCCAAGTAATACCAAGTCGGTTAATTTATTCAGTCCCTACTTAAGAGTCCTTCTGTCTTTAAGTTATTACTAATTACGTAATGACTAAGTTATTACGTAATTAGCTAACCTAACAACATCTTATAGTGACCATATCAATATTAAAATCTTTTATGTTTTAAATAAATAGATTGACTTTGCCACTTGACTTATATGTGTACCTACAATGTGTACATTTGGTGCACATTTTGGCGGCACATATAGGTAAGAGGATGGTACCTTCCCAGACGGATTGGATACTAATAGAATGTTACTACACAACTGTAAAACAATAGATATATTTATTCAGACGTGACCGACGTCTGTGCAATATGACATTGCTCTTTGTTAAGGTTTTAGAAAGATGTGGTAGAGCTCGGCAGCTCGTAGAGATCGGCTCGACCGTAGCAGGACCACGCTTGCATAGAATACCAGCATAAAAAGCAGTACAATACTGCTGTGTTACGTATGGTGTGTCGAGAACCGAATACCTTTTTACTGCTAACGAGGTCCTTAATTCTTAGGGTTAACAACGCATTTAGATTCTTATCGAGGATAGATGTAGATGTCAATTGGTCTATTGGTTACAGTATTCAGTGGCACTTGTCTCGTGGACCCTGTGCTTGTTTGTCATGCATGCTTCTGTAAAATACTCCACTAATACATTTTACAGATGCACACACACTTGCATTATTATTGCAATCCATTAATAATACGAGTGTAAACAAGGCAACCTAAATGCATAATAGATATCAGTTATCAGTTTTATTACTGACTAGCGATCCGCCCCGGCTTCGCACGGTTGATTTCTGGATGTAGACAACAACGCCACCTATCGGGTCCAATTGTGAATTTAAATCATTCTCCAATCAACTTAATCACACGCACAAGATTTCATCAAAATCGGTCCAGCCGTTTATGAGGAGTTCAGTCACATACACGCGGATAGAAGAATAATATAATATAAAAATATGCATGCATTATAGGTACATATAAATCTTCCTCTTGAATTATTCTGTCTATTGATGAAAACTGCATTAAATTCCGTTGCGTAGTTTAAAAGATCTAAGCATACAGAGGGCGAGAAGCGACTTTGTTTTATGCTATGTAGAGAAGAGATGACACGTCTTATACACATAATTTCCATCCATCTATTACAGCCTTTTACAAATTCACTGCTAAACTTAAGCCTCCTTCACAGATTGCCTCATAATTAACATTTTTCCATAGTTCTTTTTTTTTTTGTTGACCCTTTTTACTGGAAACGAGGCATTCCATCTTAGTCCTCACAGGTGACAACGCATCTGCATTTTGATTCGTAATCGAGGATAACTGTAGATGTCTATGGGCCACAGCAACCACTTACCATCAGGTGGACTGTGTGCTCGTTTGTCACCCTTATCCTATAAAAAAAAAAGTTCCTACGCCTGGTGATTCCGTTGGCAACCGCATATAGTATATCTCAAAATAATACCGCCTTTGTATTATTTTTAGATATATTCTACATATATTTGATATTTTACTAAATGGTGTGCTTATGTGTAATGCATGTGCAAAATTATAGCCATTCCTTAAAGTTTATTGTCATTACGTAATTTTTTCATTGGTACTTCCACAGTTTAAATAGAGGTACTACTTTCACTTCCATACGTTTCATTTTATGCGTGTTAGAGCCATGCTGCAGCTATATTAATAGTATAGCTTTTACTGGAAACGAGGCATTCCATCTTAGTCCTCACGGGTGACGACGCATCTGCATTTTGATTCGTAATCGAAGATAGATTTATTACGTGGTAGAGTCATGCTGCAGCTATATTAGTAGTATAGTTGTAGCACGAATGGGTCGGCTCGATCGGGGAAGGACCACGCTCTCACAGAATCCCAGCGTAAAATGGCAGCTTGACACTGCTGTGTTTCGTATGGTGAGTGTAGAGAACCGGAGACCCATTTTACTGGAAAAGAGGCATTCCATCTTAGTCCTCACGGGTGACGACGCATCTGCATTTTGATTCTTTATTGACGATAATTGTAGATGTCTGTGGCCACAGCAACCACTTACCATCAGGTGGACTGTGTGCTCGTTTGTCACACTATCCTATAAAAAAATGATGTCTATGGGCTGCAGCAACCACTTACCATCAGGTGGACTGTGTGCTCGTTTGTCAGCCTTATTCTATAAAAAAAAAAAACTTGTATTATTGCCACAGTTAAAGAATAATCCGGCCGTTTCTAATACTTTCTTGAGTGGAAAAGTCATTAAAATAATGCCTACATTTAAAAAATTAAATACAGCCATAATGTTTTACTCCATACAACATTTACTCCTTCTAACATTAGCTATCTACCAGTGAAAGTGCCGTCAAAATTGGTCCCGCCGTTTTAGAGATTAGCCGGAACAAACAAACAGAAAGACAGACAAAAATTTTAAATTTCTTTTTTGTTATAAATACTGTATACTTTCATATTATGCATTTAGTAAACAACTGTTATTTCGACATTACAAACAGACACTTTAATTTTATGTATTTGTATAGATGTATAGATTTGTTTTTATGTAGATGCCTATGCCTACCTTTTGTTTGAGTTTCTTTCTGTCGCCATTTACGGAATCTACGAGATAATAAGAGTAGTGGATTCCTTTAGGCCACCACTTAGAGCTACCACAAGTCGAATAATATTCATAATTCATATCATAATATGATACACAAGAAGTAAACATGATGATATGATAAACTCTTTATTTTATGAGGAGGAGCGGTTGCGGAAAAGCTATTTGAACAAAACTAAAGTAAAATTTTAGGGATTTATCTTCAAATTATAGTTTTTGCAACGGTAACCTTAACTTATAATTCTTATTTTCAAACTCCACGCTTACTAAGTAACGAGTGCAGATGGTGCCTAACAATAAATGATTTCATTGATGAAACCAAAAAGTCGTAAACAATTTAATATATCGTCCTCTAAAACTTATTTTTACTTGCCTTGTTAGCAGATCGATGACCTTTTTAAACGGAATGTAACTTAATTAACATTATGTCAGTTGAATAAAAAAGATATAATTAACATTTAGTCAAGGTACTGTCGTTGCTTGTACCTATTTATTGCGTTACCTAATTTCACTGCTATCAATTATTACAATAAAGTCTAAGAGGTTGTTAAGATTTGTTACAAGTGCAACTTGCAACAGTTCTTCAGTTGTGCATGATATTGAAAGTCGTAGGTTTTGAATTCATCTTTCGAATCATATCAACTAAACTATATATGCAATATAATTAATCTCACTTTATATAATTGTCTTTATTAGAAGCTCTGAAATATATATTTTTATAACTTTAGAGCGATAAACGAGCTAACGGAACACCTGATGATAATTGACTATTGAAGTCCGTAGACACTAGCTGAAAATGCCACACAACCTGTACGGTATATTTTTGCATGATATAAATTATTATTACCTTATCAAAATATCACTGCTCAACATAAGCCTCCCGTAATTGCAACACTTGACCTACAACACATTGAAATCCGATTTTAAACGGATTTAAAAAAGGAGGAGGTTCTCAATTCGAGTGTATGTTTTTTTGTATGTATTTTACGCGAAGTCTTCTAAGATTGTGAACCAATTTTGATAATGCTTTATTTTAAAAATAGGTTATACTTCAAAGGTTGCCATATAAATTTAGAGAAAACATTCCACCCTAAGGGTAGAAAATTAATAACATATTTCTTAGTAATTTGAAGTCGGGTTTTACTTTTTGTTAATAGTTATAATTATTATTATTTTATTTTGAGTTATTATTAGGACATTTATATCCTGTTTCATTTCCCTGTGTCGGCTCTTGAACCCACGGGATGATATGTAGTGGATTATCTAACGCCGTCACCGTAGCCGAAACCTACCTTTTACATACATTGTAGTTAATTTTTTTAATAACACTAACTTTTCTGAATAGGTATTTTTAAGAATGAGACAACCAGCAAGTATTAATTGGAAAATGTCCAACCTTTTTAAATTACATTTATCTATATTAATCTATATCTATATATATTTCTTTTCAGATCGCTATTGATGGCGTTACTGTGCATCCGGGGCGACTGGTACCTATATATCTGGCTCATATACTGCAAGATCTATTCGGCCATTGTATGGCTGGTGGGCAATCACTGCCGTGGTGCTGATAAGGGCCGCGCAGTGATAACCGCCGCAGTCGGCGCACAGTCGTCTGGAGGCCTCCACAGAGTGCGTACGCGTCGCAAGAGAGTGCAGCAGCATCGTGTTAAACATACGTTCGCATTAGTGAGGAGACCGTCTTTTAGGCGAATTGTCATGGCACCAGGAGCAAGCACCGCGCATACAATGATGGAGGACAAGGAGAAAGCGCTACACGGAGCCTTGGTTACCGGTAAGTTTTAAAGTGAAGGTCTTTCACAAGATTATGTGACAAAGAGTTTGTAGTCCTTTCTTGGCAGTCATGTAAGGAAAGATACTCGTACTTGTGTTATATTCCTAAATCGCTCTCCGTATATTTATAACGTAAAACCTTCAGCGATAGTCGTGAAACGTTATTGACACACATTCTCATTTTCTTTACGACGCGTTCGTTGATTTTTTTTAGCGTAACGTTTTAAAGGTTGCGTTGCTGAAAAATATTAAACCTTTTCCGAATAGAACTGAAAAGTAACACTCATAACAGAATAAATAAAATATAATTCTCAATACAAAAATAACCTCGGAGAAAACAGTATTATATTGGAGTAATGTTAGGCATAAATAAAAACGTAATTTTTAATCTGGTTTTAAAAATTAATTTCGTAAGCGTCAAGTTGTAAGTCGTCTTTGCCGCGCACTCGTTCCTCGTTTCGCCTTCGCAAAGGCCAATACCGAAGAGGATCAATGTTTATAAATAATCTATTTAACTTCATTACATATTCACATAAATATTTACATGCAGGTAGCCCTTGAATCTTTACGGAAAGGTTATCGCCATTTAGTTATTAGAGAATATTTTAATAGCCAGAACTTACTGCCGGAACGAAATTTTTGTTATAGGGTAAGGGTGACAAACGTGCAAATACAGTCCACCTGACGATTAGTGGGTGTGGCTCGTAGACAGTTACATCTATCCTCGATTACAATTACAAACAAACAAACATAAACATTAAGAATCAAAATGTAGATGCAAGGTCAAGAAGGAGGTGGCGATGGAATAGGATTTAGGATGTTAGGAAATTTAATAGCAAATTCGAACTTAAAAGTATTTTTCTTTGTCTCAGAAATGCAGATTCGCTCACGATGTTTTTCTTCACTGCGAAGCACGAGTTAAATCAGCACTTAAACTTCAATATAAAATAAGTGTAATTTAATTCAAAGTAATTTAGTCCCCTGACCCCCTGACCCCCCGAGCTACCCCGGCAGCTCAGGGGGGTCGGGGGACTAAATTTAAATTATAAGCACTCGCCTTATAATTTCACTAACCGGGAGTGCTTGGCGGTGTAAGAATTATAGAAAGTGCATCACAATCTGGAAATACACGATAAACCTATCGGTTTCTAACACGAGAACAATAGTAATAGAAAGTTATCACATCTAAATATAATGTTTGTTTGTTCGTATTTTAAGCGCTGCCATACCTACCGTTCTTCAGATTGCGGTAAAACTTTGTTAACTTAATGCCTGCGAAGGTTATAGGCATAGTACCATTAACTTACAATAGGTGGCGCGCGAATCATTCCGACAAATTTACTTGAAAGTTATATATCATCATCATTATCATTCCCAATTAAACAATACAACTCTACCAAATTTGAAACGATATTTCCACAATGATTTCTTCTGCGGTATCAATGCTATATATTTACTGTGGTACCGGGTACCAGCTAGTATGAAATAATATTTTGTTTTTTTGCCAAACATCGTAATCCTTTTACAAATTCTATATCTACTTTTAATCATTCATGTTCACTTGACATGGTACAGTATAGTAGATGACATTTAAGTCATAGACGTAGCAGTTTTATGTTTTAATACCTTTTATTAACATTACTTAAAATATTTTTTATACTTAGATGTATGTAGAATAAGGTTGTGGAATGTTGTAACCCCTAGATAGCTAGATCTATCCTCGATTAAGAATCAACAGTAGATGCGTTGTCAACCCTGAGGTTTAAGACGGGATGCCTCGTTATCAGTAAAGAGGTCCTCCGATTCTCTGCACTCACCATGCGAAGCACAGCAGTCTATTTTACGCTGGTACCTATACTGTAAAGACTCACGATCCTTTCTCGGTCGAGCCGATCCAGTGTTGCAGCTATAAAATAGCTATAGCGTGGCTCTTTCACGATGCTACTTTTAAGCCTGTGGGGCACTAATGATATATTTTACATCAAAAATTCATCTTACAAACACAAATTTGTTTTACTAACATAAATTGTACATAGTCAAAGATGTTTGTGTTACAATTTGTGATTTTGTAAAATGCTTCCATGATAAAAGGGAAATTCCTAGTGTAGGGGAAAATATTCATATTTCGTCATAAATGTTTAATTATTTTGCTATATTATTATGTATAATTAATAATTATGCAAATGAAATTAGAAATGTGAACTTTGACTTAGACAGGAATAAATAGTTTCTCACTTGTTTTATTTACTTTGAATATTCTTTATAAATGTGATGTAAGGGATATTTCTCTCGGTGCAGAGTCCAGTTGCGTTCTAATTAAGGGTTTCTTGGCATCTCACCAAGACTTTGTAAAGTAATTTTCAAGACAATGAACAAGTGTGATCAAGGAAATGAAAGCATGAAATGAAAACAGCCCAATGAACTTTCTGAACCTTTGGCGTTTAGTATTTTTTTAACATTAAAGTGACAAAGAATTTAACAACTAAAGGATAAGCGACTACTGCAGCCTGTAGCTCAAAAACTACCATCTTAAAAAAAGAAGGCCTTATGTGCAACGTCTTCTTTAAGGACTAATATTTAATGAGCAGAAAAAAAATTGAAGTTGAATTGAATTAAAGATGTGCCGGTTACTATATTCTCTAAGACCGTTGATGTCTTGATAATTTACTGCTATGGTGGTCAACTAATGCTATGATACTTGATAGCATAGCAAAGGTTTACTAATCATTTTATATGAATATATGTATAAGATTTGACTGTGGCTTTTTCTGCCTAGGAATCAGTTCTGGGCTGTGTTTCCAGCGTGTAGAGGTGTAAAGTAAAAAATGCCCGTATTTTTTTTACGCTCATAGCAAGGCTACCTTCCGGAAGCGGTGGAGGGAGGTGGTGAATGCTCATAGCATACCACACAGCCGGCTGCGTGGTTATGTAGGACTCACTATAAAGTGCCTACCCTCTAAACACCACCTGTGGGACTGGCTTTGGCCTGGAGGGCCTTTCTACCGAATCGGAAGCGATCCCCCTTAGGGAAAAGGGGCGCAGGTAGTGCCCGTATAATTACAGTCTGTATTTATACTCCGCGTCATTCCACAACGGCGTCTGTGAGGCATACCATCTTGGAAAGCCTCACACACACTCAGACATACAAAGTGCAGCGCATCTGTAGCCTTTTTAGGGTTCTGTACCCAAAGAGTAACCAACGGGACCCTATTACTAAGCCTCCGCTGTCCGTCCGTCCAATCGTCCGTCTGTCTGACAGCGGGCTGTACTCATGATCCGTAATAGGTAAACAGTTGAAATTTTCACAAAATATGTATTTCTGTTGCCGCTATAACAACAAATAGTAAAAATTTAAATAAATTAACTATTTAAAGGGGCTCCTTTACTAGAAACGGGTATTACGATGGTACGAGACCGCAATTTCGACTCGCACTTGGTCGGTTTGTAGGTGTCCAGGGGCTGCAGTAGTATCAGCAGACAGACTTCAAGTCCGTTTCTCACTTCAATTTTATAAAATAAAAGGCAAAATAGATGTATGTTATACTGATTGTATTTATAAAAGAAGAGTTTCGTGCTTCAACTTTTCATCGTGATAATTAATCAGTGGCAACGAAGCGTTCATGTTAGCCCACAGGGATGCAATACACAAATGCTAACCTAACCCTTCTTAAAGAATTTGTTACTCTCGTTGAAACAAAAGATTGAACAATGCCTTATCGTTCGTTTGTGTAAATAATGTATTATACATGGTGAACGGCGATGCGTACGCTTTGGTTACAGTAGATATTTAAATTTATAAATATAATCGTCTTGTATAAATAACAGATTTAAAATAAACATCTCGGAGGCGGGAACAACGTTAAAGGTTTGAGACGTCTGGCGTTCCGATCGCAAATTCGCCTGCAAAGAGTAACGATTCAAATCCTTGCCTTCTTTAGGCATGGAAGCCCTAGACTGGTAAAGGAGAGCAAGATGCAAACGATGGAATAGAATAGAATAGAATATAGAATAGAATATTTTTTTATTCAATATACATTACATGTGTAATTCTTATTGAAAGTCGTTTTTTACTTTACCACTGGTTCGAAAAAAACCCTCTGTCCTGGGAAGAACCAGCAAGAAACCCAGCGGGACTTTTTTTTAAAATAAATTTTACAATATAAATAATTACGAACTATTTACAAAATTTATTTTAGAAACTGCTTGGAAGCGATCACCTCATTCCCAGGGGTTATTATCAACCATGTATTCATTTATACTATAATAACCCTTTTTATACAGTTTCAGCTTAATAAAACATTTAAACTTGGTAATAGAGAGAACCTGTACACTTTCCGGGACCTTGTTGTAATAGCGTATACATTGCCCCAAGAATGAATTACTGACTCTGTGGAGTCGAGAAACTGGTATCACTACCTTGTGTTTGTTCCTAGTGTTTACAGAATGTATATCACTTCTTTTACTAAAACTATCTTTGTTTTTGTGAACATACATTAAATTTTCGTAAATATACTGAGAGGCCAAAGTTAATATACTAATTTCTTTAAATTTATCTCTAAGGGACTCTCTCGGTTTTAGATTGTAAATAGCTCTAATGGCCCTCTTCTGTAAAACAAAAATAGTTTCTGAATCAGCCGCATTTCCCCATAGCAAAATCCCATAAGACATTATGCTATGAAAATAACTAAAATAAACTAATCTAGCTGTCTCGACACTAGTGAGACCTCTAATCTTTTTTACAGCATAGGCTGCAGAACTTAGTCTGCTTGCTAATTTGGATATATGGGGGCCCCACTGTAGCTTTGCGTCAAGAGTGATGCCAAGAAAAACAGTGGATACAACAGGGCTCAATTCCTCCCCATTTAAAAACACATTGGTATTAAGATTTTTAACATTCGTTGTTGTAAATTTAACACAATTAGTTTTATTTCCGTTCAAATGCAGATTATTAACGTTAAACCAATGCACTAATTTTGATATAGCATTATTCACTTCGTCACA